GCCGGTGTCGGGGTAGGGACCCAGGAGGTCCCGGCTTCGAGCCGTGGGCGGTGAGGGAGGGGCACAGGTAAGGGCAGCTGTCCCCGGGTCCTGGTGTTGGGGATGGGGAGGCAAATCCTTAGTGAGGGAATCGGCTCAAACCAGGTTTGGAGCGAAGGCTGGAGGCTTGCGGGGGGTCAGGGGGGGGACCCTTAGGGGGATAGTGGGGCGAGGAGAATATTCTTTGTTGAGTACATACGAGTGTCTGGTGGGTTGGGGGTGTTATGGGGTAGGTATGCCAAGGTGGATTCTGGTAAAACTGGAGGTGCCTAGGCGGTGTTGGGTGCGCAGGGGGTTGTGTGGGTTATCGATGTGGGTGGAGTAGGTGAGGGGTGCAAGGACTGGGTCTTTGGAGCAGGTGTGCAAGGGAAGTGATGGGAACAGGGGAGGGTGTCCTGGGGTGCATGTGTGGGAAGCTTGTGCGTATGTGTGCATATGGGGGGATCTGATGCTGGGGAGATTAGGAGTGTGCAAGGAGTCACTTAGGAAGAGTGTGTAAGAAGGTTGGGGCTCAGGGGGTATTTTCTGGGAGCTGATGTTTTCTGGGGCAAGTATGCAAGGAGTCTCTTGGGAGATGAATGCATATAGATGGAGGTGGGGGTTGGGCTTGTCTGGATGGGTAACTGTGGCCAGGGACTTGGGTATTGAGAGTGTGCAGGCTTGGGGGCAGGGGGAGCAGCACAGGAGGTGTGAACTAGAGTAAAATGCAAAGTGTCATTGGGGAGGGGTCTGAGGGAGAGGGATGGTGGGTGAACCCGGGATGGGAGTGTAGTTCATGGGGCAAGTAGGTGTGTAAGGCATGGTTTGGAATAAGTGTGCCACAGTGACACAGTTTTTGCCTGGGGACAGAGAAGTCCAGAGTTGAATGTCCAGACCCCTGGATTCTTTTTACAACTTGGGCCAGTCTCTTTTACTCTCTGGGCCTCAGTTTTACTATCTGTAAAATGGATCTGAGGGTTGTTGAACTAACTAGTCTCTGCCTGGAGTCTCTCTCCAGTCAGAAGTCAGGGGAAGGACAAAGGTGAGACTTAAAACTTGTGTTTTTCTTACCCCTACCCCAGGAAACCCCTCTGGGAGCCTCTCTTAGCCATGGACAGCCCCAGTCTTCGAGAACTTCAACAGCCTCTGCTGGCAGGTGTAGGCTCTGACCCCCCTGTTCAGAGGCCTGGTGAGCCTGAGTTGGGTCCCCCTTTGGAGAGACAGCCTTTGCAGAGTCCCTAAGGGGTTGGCAGTTTCTTCTATCACCTCTTCCCTCAGTGAGCGCTGGTCTGGGGCAGCCAGGGCTCCCTGACCTTGAGGTAGGAGCAGCAGGCCTTAGTAGCAGCAGTGGGAAGGGCTGCAGTTGGGCTTCCTAGATTTCCAGTTGTGGTTTTCTTGTTCTCCTTCACCCCGGGTTCTTTGGCTTTTCCTCTCCAGATTTGCCTCTCATCTTTTTAAAAAAATATATTTTATTGATTTTTACAGAGAGAAAGGGAGAGGGATAGAGAGTTAGAAACATTGATGAGAGAGAAACATCAATCAGCTGCCTCCTGCACGCCCCCTACTGGGGATCGAGCCTGCAACCAAGGTACATGCCCTTGACTGGAATCTAACCAAGGACCCTTTAGTCCTTGGGCCCAAGCTCTGTCCACTAAGCCAAACCAGTTAGGGTTGCCTCTCATCTTTATTCCCTAGCCTTTGGCTCTGTTTGTCTTCCATCTGATTTCTGACTCCCCTGCTCTCTGTCTATCTCTCTCCAGATCCGACACACCTCTGGCCTCTGCTATGGTCCTTTTAAAAAAATTGTCACTTTTATAATCTTTTATTTCTTATCTTTTATTTCTTAAACATGGTTTCCAGGTTATTATCTCTCTATATAAAAGGATAATATGCAAAATGTCCCCTCGGGAGTTCAACCGAGAGAACGGGAGTTTGATTGCTTGCTATGATGTGCGCTGACCACTAGGGGGCGGCACAGACCATGGAGGGTGACCATCGGCGGTGGCAGGGGTGCTGAGGGAGTGAGGGAAGGAGGTGGGGAGGCAGGGCACCTGATCGGCCCTGATCGACCAGGCCTAGGGACCCAATCCGTGCACGAATTTCGTGCACTGGGCCTCCAGTTGTTGTATAAGAATCCACTACAAAAATTAGTAGCTTAAAATAACTGCAATCATTATCACTCACGGTTTCTTTGTGTCAGGAATTTGGGAAGGATTCAGTGGGTGGTTCTGCCTCAGGTCTTTCATGAGGTTGCAGTGAGCCAGTGTAAGGTCTGGAACAGTCAGGGTGGTTAGTGTCTCTCTTCCTGTATTGGGGGTAGGGGGGAGCATGTGTCTCCCCATGTGGGCTGGTGTGGGCTTCCTTCCAGCATGTTGGCTTCAGGGCAGTTGGACTCCTTCTGTACCTCCAGTCTCCAGCAGGAGTGTCAGCAACGCAGGAGCTGCCTCACCTTCCTGACTTAGGAATGAATCTTGCGGAATCAATTCCACTATATCCATCAATTATGAGTGAGTCACCGCCTGTCCAGATTCCAGGAAAGGGGACACAGAGCTCTCCCTTGACGGGAAGAGTATCAGTCACACTTTAAGAAGAGCATGTGGGATGGGAGAGATGATTGTGGCCATTTTTTGGGAAAACACAGTCTGCCACGTTGTTGCTGTAGGCATCACTCTGATATTGTATGTATCTATTTGGTCTTTTCTCTCTGCTTGTCCTCATTCATGGTTTCTTATATGCCTGGTTATCTTTGACTGCATGCTGGTCATCATATTTGAAAAATTATTTTGAGGCCTAGAATGAAGGATTTAGTTTGCTTCTGTGAACTGCCTGGGGCCATTAGCAGTTAGAGATCACTTAAAATCTAGTTCAAGGTTTGATTGAAAGGTTAATTATTCTGTGCCTCATTTTCCTCATCTCTGAAATTGGAATAATTCCTGCCTCAGGGTCATTGTAGGATCAAATGAGTTAGAGTGGTGGCATACACTAATATATGTATACTAGAGGCCCAGTGCGCACGAAATGGTGTGGTGCGTGAGTAGCTCGCTTCTGCTTGCCTCAGCTGGCTGCCCCCTCAACGCCCTCCACCGCTTGTAGCTCTCTGCCCCTAGTAGCTCGCACCTTGCCCCACCAGCCCTGAGAGCCACTGCTCGTTTGGTCGTTACCACATTAGGGCCACGGGCCTTTTATAATATTAGATCTTATTAGTCACCTGGAATCCCCAGTGCCCAATGTGCCTGACCCAGTGATACTCCACTTTTAGAATATATGGATGAATGAACACGCGGTTGTATCCTGTGGGGAAGGGGCTCAGGCTTCAGGAAGCAGGGAGAGCAGAGGGGATGCCTGAGTCAGATGCCCAGCACCTCCACAGACCAAGACTTGGGCCAAGGGGGATGTCCAGGGGGCAGGGGCCACCTCCCGCTGTGCCTTCCTGCTTGGGGTTCTGGCCGTAGGGCTGGGCGTGTGCACACATGTGGCAGCCCTGATGACCCTGGCTACCTACCTTGCCTCCCCAGACCTGCCCTAGCTGCCCTGCAGCCCCCGCCATGAACCAGAGGCCGGTGACCCAGAGCATACATTGGCAGAGTGAAGAACCTGGGTGGATGTGGCAGTGTTAGCATCCAGCAA